CAGTGTTTGTCCTAACCTGCCTGTAGTATAAGCAGAATGGCGGTCGACAATGGGAGAAATGTTTCCCGCCATCCCGTCCAGCCGTTCTGTAATGCCCTTTATCTGTTCACGGATGATTTATTGGATGGAAAGTTCAGTTTCTGACGGTCCCGCAGACTCCACAGATCGATTCCGGAGGTATTATGTATTTTTTCAGGGAACAGAATGATTTATTGTTGTATTTTTGGGAACGGATGACGCATTTTCGGTGCAGACCGGAGCGTAGTCGTTTTTCAACTGTATATCGCAGAACTTCTCTGATACCAGTTAATGCGTCCTTTAAAAAAAGTAGCAGGTCATTTGACGATGATACCTGAGGGTGAATGATTACATTTTAATCCACGCAGAATCTTCAAACAAGGCGTCCAACGATATATTATTTTTATGTGGATAGTAAAGCACCCTAAATCGAACACCTCCTTTATGGCGGACCCCTGGTACCATTCTGTTGTGTTGCAATATTCATTATTATTTATTTATTAGTTATTTATCAACGAGCGACTGCCCAATTGAAGTACAGCATAGAAAATTGAAATGAATTTAATTAAAATTTAAATATATGTGGAAATCAAATATGAAATATTATAGACAGGAATGTAATTGGATTTTGAACGTTTTCTGACTTCTGAAGAAATCCAACTGATTAGAATACTGATTTGCTAACCTTGAAAATCTAGACAGGGAGGAACTACTAGCATAATTAGTACGAAATGATCTCACATGGAATGGTTGATTCGGTCTTGTTTGACAAGAATGTACATGGAGATTAATATTTTTCAAAAGTTCTGGACCAGAACTAAGAGAGTGCAAAATATTATAAAATAGTGACAGGTCCCTCTGATTCCGTCTTACCTGAAGGGTTGAGATATTGAGAGAGCTTTCAATGACGGAATAGATAATATCTTCATCCGTAATGTTTTGTTTGAATGAAATGAATCTTAAGAGTTTATGTTGCACTCTCTCAATTACCGGAATATGAACACTATAGTTGGGTGACCAAACACAAGGACAATACTCCAAATGGGGCCTCACCAAAGAACAAAACAACGTTTTAAATGATTGAATATTATGAAAATCGTTAGCACATTATATACTAAGTGACATATAAATCCGAACACCCAGTTTAAATGGTTTTATTTTAATAAAAGTTGGTGAATATATTTATCTTACTGTAAATAACAAGTGAAAAAATTTTCAGCCTTAGCAGTTGGACATTCCGGTTTTTATACTGCTTTTTTTAACTCACTAACGCTCTAAAAATGAATATTTCAGCCGCAGTAAAGAATCAACGTTGGCGGATTTTGGTTCTTGACATCCTTTACGATCGGTTACGATGCCTAGAGTACGGAGACCTGTACGATTTCGTCAACTTAGTGAGTTTGATAGGGGCCGTATAGTGGGATTTCGGGAAGCTGGACTTTCTTTTCGGGCAATTGCAGTTAGAGTGCAAAGAAGTGTAGACATTGTGGTTAGGTGTTGTCAGGCATGGCTTCGAGAAGGCCGTACGCAAAGAGCAAGGGGCACTGGACGCCGCCGTAGAACAACAGACCGTGAAGATCGCCGCCTAAGATTATAGGCCTTAAGGGACCGTTTCTCCACTACCACGTCCATTGCAAATGAATGGTCTGCAGAACACCGAAGACCTATTGGCATGCGAAGTGTTTACCGACGAATGAGAAGTTTTGGCTTGTTTTCATACCGGCCACACTGGGTCCTCCCTTTAACTCGAGAACACCGACGTAATCGCCTTGAGTGGTGCAGACAACGGTCACTCTGGGATCAGGAATGGAACAGTATTGTCTTTAGTGACGAGTCTCGGTTTTGTTTAGGCATGCACGATGGTCGTGCCAGGGTTAGAAGGCGACGTGGTGAAAGGAGGAGTCCACAGTTTTTTGTTGAAGGACATGTTCATCACACTGTTGGAGTTATCGTTTGGGGTGCGATAGCTTATGGCTCCAGGTCACCTTTAATCTTCATCAGAGGTAACATGAACGCGCAGCGTTATATCCACGAAGTTCTAGAATCCCATCTTTTGCCCTATCTTGACACCCTGGCAGATCCAACTTTCCAACAAGATAATGCCCGACCACATGTTGCAAGAGTCACAATAGACTTCTTTCAACATAATGATGTCACATTGTTACCATGGCCACCAAGATCTCCCGACTTATCCCCAATTGAGCACGTGTGGGATATGATGGGTAGGAGATTGCTCAATTTGCAACGTCCTCCTCAGACTCTAGAAGCACTTCGAGAGGAGTTGGTGGTTGCCTGGAATGAGATACCACAGGAGGACTTTGACCACCTGATCAGAAGCATGCCTAGGCGCGTTGGAGAATTCGTAGCACATCAGGGTGCATCCACACATTATTAAAGGTCAAAGGGCTTTAAAGCGGTGCAATCATTTTGAAATGTTTATCATTCACTTATTATGCTTCATTAAGTACTAATACAAAATTTTATTAAAAAAGAACCATTTAACCTGGGTGTTAGGATTTATATGTCACTTAGTATAAATTCCAACAGTTGAAGAGAGTGATATGGGTAATAAATGATATGTTTGGGTCAAGAATTACCCCTAAATCCCTAACTTGGAATACACTCTTTAGAGCAACCTTTCATGGTATAAGTATGATCAATGGGGTCCCTGTTACGGCTGGGGACCATTAAATGACATTTTTCCATTCTGTTCATTTGAAACTATTCTTATCATTTTGGATATTTAAACAATCATTATTATATTTGATTTTTAAGAATAATTTCAAATCATCTGCAAACGTTAGGAAACTAACAGACTTAAAACAGTATATAATATCATTCACGTATATACTGAAAAGAAGAGGACCCAGATGGGAACCTTGAGGTACTCCAGATGGCACATTAATTTCATTTGATTGAAAGCTTTTTATACGCACTGTTTGTTTTCGGTCAGTGAAGTAAGACTTTAGCCATGATAAAAGATCCCCGCAAACTTCTAGACAATGTAACTTATTAATCAAGATCTCATGGTTGACCTTATCGAATGCTTTAGAAAAATCTGTATAAACTATGTAAAAATAATAACCTTCCTCCAAGGATTCCATAATATATTTTGCGAATGTTAAAAGATTTAACTCTTTGGAGCTTATAAAACTACATTGCATATTTGCGGATAAAAATTCACACACTAGGCTCGCAAATTCCGTTCCAGTGCAACTCAGTCTACTGATAGGTCGATGATTTTTTTTTGACTTGTAAAGGATCTCCAGATTTCAGTAATGGAGTAATGAAGCATGCTTTACAACATTCCGGAAAAGTTCCACTTTTCAACGAAAGATTAAAAATGTAAAATAGAGGTCTAGAAATCAGAAAGCTTAAGTTTAATCAACAACGGAGGTACACCACCAGGTCCAGGTCCAGGTCCTTTATTAGCGTCTAATTTGGATAGTGCTTCATAGATGGCTGAGATAGGAATTTACTAGTTAAATAAATTGATGACCCCATAATAAAGATAACTATTCTGAACAGTACTATTCTCTACACTGTAAGTGTTATTCCTAGATTTCTCTATATCAGTAATTATCCCTCCCAAACTGGGTGATATAAAACCAAAGAGCATATAAAAATAAACAGAAACGTATTTGAAGTTTTATTTATTTAAGTAACATATTGATTAGAAGTGGATAATTTTCAAAGCTTATTATCAAGGTCGCCAGGGAACTCAAAATACGATTATGTAAAACTAAAGTGGTGAGGTTCGATAAGAATTAATTGTGATTGAAGATTGGGTCACAACTGATAAAAGGTTGAGAAAAACTACTTAATAGGTATATATTTTCTTAAATGACAAAATCCTGGGTTCGTGAAGTTAGGTGCTTGATTCAAACTCTATTGGTAAAAACTAATTTCGTGAGAATTCGACTGTACATATTATACGAGTATTAAATTTTAGGAATTCGTGATGCAGATCGGGTCCCTTTCTCAAACCATTATTTTTCGCACCTGTTCAGGTTCATAAAGGAAGATGAGAACTTATAAAAGGAGATGGAGTTTTTCTAGAATTTAGAACCTGAATGACTTATTGTTGTATTATCGGTGCGGACTGGAGTCATTTTTCAACTGTTTATAGCTAAACTTCTCCAATACCGTTAACGCTTCCCGAAAAATACAGAACATTTGATGACGACACATATATCCGTAAAAAAGAAAAGAAAGAAGTACTTTTCTCCACATGATTTCTTCTCTCTATACAAGGCACAGATAAGACCTAGCCTCGAGTGTTGCTCACACGCTTGGGGTGCTACCGCCCCAACTACATTATTTATGCTTGATGCTGTCTCTCTTCTCTAACACAGTCGAAGGTGTTCACACGCATCTGAACCTTTTATTTGAATCAGTCGGAAAACGGGCTAGTTTTGCTAATAAAAATGAATCATAACCGCTGTATCAAGAAATATACAAAGTTACTCATACCACTTATGATTGAAGAATTATATGAATTATTGCGCGAAAAAAAGAAGCGTGTGTGGACAAGAAAATGGATTGCAAGAAGATCAGAATTTGGTGCTAGTAGCACACTGTTTACAGAATTGCAGTGGGAAGATCCTAATCAATTCAGAGCACTTTTGAGAATGGATGTACGGCATTTCAATGCATTATTGGAAAGTCTCACTCCAATGATACAAAAAGAAGATACTGTCATGAGGCAAGCTGTACCGGCAAGGATTAAACTATAGGTGGCATTAACATATATTCCAACAGGAGGCAGCTATCGTTATTTACAAGCCTTCTATGGAATATCTCGAGCTGCAATATCGTTACTCATATGTCTATTTGAAAGACTATGTAAAGGTAAGTGATTTTTTTATCAGACATTTTTTTGAGTGAGTAGTTTCTTAAATTCTTGGGCTGATATTAAATATAACATAATAGTAAATTCATTTTATTGTGAAAGTAACAAACATTCAAAACTTATTTCGACATTAAATTTGTTCGTTCCCGATGTCACTGTCACAGGCAGCAGCCATAGCCAACGTTATAATATCACTCGTGGTGCGAAGAGTGTCCGATTCTGAGGTGAGGTCATCAAATCTGTTTGTCACATGGTCTGTTGACGCAGTAGATGTGTAACTAACATCAGTGAAATTTGAAAATACAGAAGATGATCTTTGACTGCTGCTATTCGGCGCAGACTTTTCTCTGTAATCCTTGATACCGATTTCGCTCAAAAGGCTTTGGATTCGACACTGAGCTAATAAGGCATTTTCTACCGAAAAAGTTTTAAGTTGCGATGCAACACTCTTTCCAAACACGTCAAGAGGGTTTTCTTCGGCAGAATTGACTTGCTTTTGAAATCAGAAACCGCTTTGACAATATCTCTACTGCTCTTCCTTGCACGTGAGCTATTTCCAATGCTGTAGAAGCTGATGTAGGTAAATTTGTGGCGTTGGTTTGTGTTACATCAGCTGTAGTAATTGCTTCGGTGTCGCGGGATTGTAAGGTCTCGGAGGGGTCATTTTCTTACGCAATGGTATCTTCAGTGCTGGGTCCATTAGTCTGAAAATAACCGAAATCCTGTATTGCTTCAGGTACTACAGAACTATCAAGAATGGCAAAAGATAGAAGCAGGCTTCAGAACTAGATGGAATTTTCCTGGTTTCTATGGCGCTATAGATTGGAAGCATGTATTGATTCAAGCACCTCCGAACTGTGGAAGTGAAAGGACACCAATAGTGTTGTGCTTATGGCTGTTGTAGACCATGACTACAGTTTCCTTTATGTTAATATCGGAGCAAATGGAAGAAACTCGGACAGTGGAATTTTCAGAAATAGCGCATTATATAGCGACCTTGAAAATAATATGCTACCAACAGGTGGTTTTTTAGTTGGTGATGATGCTTTTGCACTGAAGACATATTTATTGAAACCATACAGTGGCACAAACCTCACAAGAGTACAAAAAATATTCATCTATCGATTATCCCGAGCACGTAGAATAGTCCAAAATGCATTCGGCATCCGAACAAGCAGATTTAAAATATTTCAAAAACCTATACCAACTGACGTCAACACAACCGATAAGATTATTCGAGCCTCATGTGCTCTGCATAATTGGTTGCGCCCAATTGTTACTTTCCAAAGGATTGCGTGGACGTAGAAGATATCGACTCTGGAACAATTGTTGAAGGGACTTGGACACGAGAACTCATAGCCACCTTGCCATCTATCACCGATCACACTACCAATAATTCACCACAAATAGCAAGACACACGTATGCCGAATACTTTAGTGGAGCAGGTGCTGTTGTATGGCAAGATAGAATGATTTCATAGTTGTAACCAAACCAAATAAACTACTTACATTTTCATATGTCTTTCTTTTCAGATCGTGAATAAACACCTCTTCCATTTCATTCAGCCACTTGATGTTTGAAGTATACACATTACTGAGCCCAGCCCCGGATCTCTTTGAATCATTAATTTTGTTCAGTTCTTGACTGTACGTGGATCTCAAATTTTTAGTCTTATTTTTGACTTCTTGCACTCCAAAGCCATCTATATCCTTTTCTTCAACTATTGCGGCAATTGCAGCATCCCGTTTCTGTTTATTTTTGTAGTCCGTCGACTGGAAATTCCACAAGCAAGAATGGGATTTATATTGTTGGATAAATTTGATTGTGGTATCACAGTGCCATTTATTCTTAGCCATATTTTATTGAAAGATGAAACGGTCAGACCATAAAACTAGACGCAGTTTCGCAGTTGCTTTAGATGGCGAGTGATAAAGCACACCGAGTGCCTGTTCAAACCTGTCGAGCGCGTGTAGAGCGATATACCGAGTAGGTAGGGGGGGTGGCACTTGGTCTAGTAAGTAGAAAAGGGTGCGAGTCACTGTCTCGCTCTTCTACTGGGCCCAGTGCTTGGCCGAGCGCTCGGTTACCTGTTTATACTAACCGAGTACTAGGCCGAGACCACTGTATCGTCACTGTACTCGTTACATGTAATCAAGGCATTACCGTGTCGAACTTCGTACATTCAGAACTGACCGATACGACCGCTCCTTTGTGCCGAGGGTGTCGAGATTGTGGAACAACCTACAAGAGGACGCTTTTCCAAATTCTCCGCCGTGACTCGATGCTGTCCACAGAAGGGGTGTCCGACTGACGGCTGACTCTTCTCTGACAGGCGGTCTCGGGACCCTTTTGCACCGGCGGAACATACTTTAAGTAAAAACAAAGGCACAGCACCTTTCCTATTGGACGCAATCGGTTGTTCCTTGAAAATAATATTATCTTGACTTTGGGAGTGAGGAATTGCAAACAGATACCCGATAAGGATGCATATTATTCAGAAATAAAGATAAACAGTCTGTTACTCAATGTTCAACTAAGTTAACTTTTCTGATGAAGAAGATATTAACGAAAGACAAACAAAGAAGGCATCTTATAATAAGATAATATCAGAAGTCCTGTAAAAGCAAATGCATCTTAGAAGAGCAACTTATTGAAGTTTGAGATGGAAAAGTTCTTTAAAAATTATCGGCATATCTCTTTTTAAAAGTATGTCGCTTCTATTTCTTGTCATAGAATCGAAATGAGCCCGTGAAAGTACTTTTAGAACATGAACATGATTATGTGAACTTCATCCGTGAAAGTTTTGCTTACGGCAGAGCATGGAAACATTACGAAAAGTCGTTTTTATTCTGGAAATACTTCACCAAGTTTTAAGTTGGTTTAGTGAATACTACTGAGGGCTAGAACTACATGAGGAATGTGTTCAGATCTATAGCATTTATGCCGGATATTCAATAAATCTTTTATATCATATCCCTTTTCGTTGATGTTGATTCTTGTTTTTAGAGGTACTTCTTTAAACTTCTTTTGGTATAAGGGTTCTGTTTAAGAATGTTCCCATGAATCAGACACCAAATAACAAAATATAACATCAATTCATCAATTAGGAATAACAAACTATGGTCACTGAAGTGTAACCATTTCATCAGATACAAACAGCACGTTTGGTCATCACAAGAAGGCCCAAGGAACTGTCTTTTTTGTGACTGAACTATTGTTTTATTTGTTGATAAGGGCACTGCTTGCAACCGGTAGCTGATAAATAGCAAGCATCGATGCTCATGCTAAGTAGGCTTGGCCAAAAAATCGAATTCTGGAACATCGTTTTCGAATAGAGCGCGAAAGTTGCCTCTTGTTATTACAAGAAAAATGTTTATGAACAGTTCTTTTATTGTAAAAAAAAAAATTAAAAAAAAAATTGAAATTCGAACATTGGAATTTCAATCGGGGATAGTATCCGGAAGTTTCCTTACCTTACCCCGATCAAAGTATTTATTTCTAGTTTCTTCATCGCATTACGTCTCGTGCTCCCTACCGAAGTTAAAAATAAAACCAAAATACGAATTTTTTGATGGAATAAGTTTTATTTGCATTTGCTACTTCTTATCAGTAAGAAAAGCAAATAGTCATTCTGACAGGTCATAGTTATTTTCTTGAATGAAGTCAACTATACTTCGAAGTAGGTCTTTCGCTGATCCAGAAGAAGGCATTGCATGACCTAGAAACATTTAACGAGGCTCCTATAGCAAAGTAATATGTTCTTCAACTAACGTTGGTTTATTATATAAAGTCTGCCATCTTGTTCTTTGGTGGTCAATGTTTTGTCTTTTCGACACCATCAAAATAATTGCTTTCATAGGTTGATACATTATGAAATTCACAATTGTATTTCTTATATTCTCTCTAGCTCTTCTTCACTTATTTTTGTCTATTATTCGCACTGAACTTTTTTGTTTCTAATCCAACATCCTGTAAAACAGCTGTAGCTACTTCGGCTGCAGGTCCGTCTGGTAATCCATATCTGTCAGCAACTTGAGCAGGCATAGGTAGTTTGAGTGTACTATTTTTAGAAGCTTTTATCTCGTTCGGTAAGGCTGCATCGAGGTTGACGAAAGAAGAAACTGACATGTCAGCTAATATCCCCGAAGAAGTCTCAGATCACTTTTCAGGGCAAAAACTATTATGCGACCTTTACTTTTCTTGCAGGTTTTCAATTCTTCCGTACTTATTCACTATTTCCTTATAGTCCAGCACTATTAGACTTTCTCTGCTGAAAAAATCCCACCTGGCTGAATTTTTTACCAGAGTTTTTTTCAACATTATAAATCATCCCTTCAAAGTCCCCATGAGTCCAAGTGGAGCTTTTTTGTTATGGGGGTCAAGTTCACAATAAACACTTTTTTCCATATGTCTTCGGAAATATGAATTCTACGATGATGTTCATTATGAAATTATCCACAAAAAAAAATATAATGCATTTTTTTCGTAGAGATCGTTTTTTCAAAGAAATTTTACTTTCAATGCCAAACATTGAGAAAATTGCAAAATAACGTACTTTTTGCCACGTCACCAAAGCGGTAAAGCACTTATGGAAAATAGTGCTTTTTGTGACCTTTGACCCCGCCCCATAAAAAAAAGCTCCACTTGGATTCATGGCGACTTTTGAGGAATGATTTATAATATTGAAAATTAGCTCTGGTAAACAATTCTTTTCGTCTAATAGTCCTGGACTATTAGTTTCCTTCGCATCGAGACGACCTATGAATATAAGTCTGGAACCTATTTGATCTATGAGAAATGTGCGTTCTTTCGGAGATACCTATAAAAATAATCATCTGTTGGATGAGTAATGTCATCAAATGAAATAATATGAATCTTACCCTTTTTTCTTTGCTACAAGAACACTCGTCAAATGTTTTGCACTTGCAGGCACTCATGTCGAAGAGTTTCTTATTCGCTGCATCATAGGCTTCAACTTTTAGGACATAGTTATCATTATTTAGGAATACCAATGGCGAACATATAATTTAAGGCGTAATAATGTTTGCCAAATAGCTATAGGCGATTTTGATAAATATTCCCATTGTACGTACAAGAGCAAACAAAACAAGACTGGTAGTGTTTGTTTCGTGAAAATTTGTATTTTTCCGAATTTTTTACAAATTTTTAATTATCTATATCTCGTGTCCACGATTTCCACATAAACGTAAAACCATGATTCAGATTGGGGTTTTCCTTTTCAGAAACAACTACCCTTGAAATATCAAAGCTAATGTGTAGTGAAACGAGGGCGACCAAGTAAAAAAAAATAAAGGAAAAAGTACTCACTCTCCAGTTGACGAGAAGGGCTAAGTACGTCTCTGCCCGAAATCATACCGCTCCAACAGAAAATGAAATCAGCCGATGCGCTACCGAGCAGACGCAGAAACCACAGTGATTGTCTTACACTTAATGGCACATCTTCTAACAAGAAAGGCAAAATGTTGCGTAAAAAGTCTAGGTATTGCATCCCGTCCAATCGATTTGGGAGAATAAATGGTCCAATGAGCATACCGTTCACCATGCCAGCCCAAACATTCACCGAAAATGTTTGTTGAGAATGTGCCCGACGGACAGCGTGCGGATTTTCTACTGACCAAACATGAGTGTTGCGAAAGTTATTCACCCCATTACGCGTGAACGTAGATTCGTCTGTCACCAATATGCACTTCAAAAAGTCCGCATTATTGTCATGTTGATGCAACAACTACTCACAAAACCGCACTCTTGCTGGAAAATCGTCACGTTGAAGGGCTTGTACACGTTGGACGTGAAACGGATACAGCCCCTCTTCACGCAGCGTTTGCCACACTTTAGTTACTTGATACTTGCACTTCTCTAGCCACGTCTCTAGTGCTTGTCGTCTACGCGATTACCTCTACACGCGTGACCGTAACCGTCGATTAAAGGTTGCATACTGACCTGACACACTGACCCCGACCCAGTTCTGTCGTCGGGTTGAGCCAGTGACCTTGTACCAGTTGGTGATGTCGCGGCTACAGGGCGGTATTCAGATATTTTTGATGTTGCAGAGCCCTTTATCTCGGTTCCCTTAAGACATTGTGTATATGATACTAAGAAAAATTGCTTATGTTTTCAAGATCTACACGTCGTGTAAAGGAAAACCTCAACTTTCGGACACCCTGTATATTAAATAGTAGTGACAAAGTTATTGAGGTAATGCTCAGTTTGATATGGGAAATTTGGGAAACAGAAAGAATGCCGCGTGAATGGAGTGAGGCGTTAATAAGCCCAATGTTTAAAGAAGGGGATAAAAAATCTGTGAAAACTATAGAGGGATAGCCCTATTGAATGTTGGATATAAAGTGTTAGCGACCTGTATTGAGAGTAGACTTTCTTCGTAAAGATATAATCAGTGCAGCAAATTTGAATAGGAATGGTTTATTATACAATAGAAAGCATCAATGTTTAGCGTTCGTAGATGACATTGCAATTGTTGCTAGACGCATAAGAGAATTGATACAAGTACTAAAAACACTCAAAGAGAAAGCAAAGGAAAAGGGTCTAATAATAAGTCAGGAAAAATATATGAGATGGACAGATGATGATTTTACGACAGGAGAAAGCCTAAAGGTAGAAACATGCAGTGGCAAAATATATAATTTTGAAGAGGTCGATCAACTTGTCTACTTGGGATCAACATTCAACAAGAAAACCGGGCACAAGGGAAGAAATCAAAGCAAGACTGGGGAAGGGAAATAGATGTTTATATAGCCTGAACCATCTCCTGAAAGCAAGTTGATAAGAAATAAACTGAAAATTAAATTATATAAAACAGTAATAAGACCATCAGTGA